GGGTGGTCTCGTATTTGGAGATTTCGAAGGGCAAGGGATCGTGACGAGGAAAATGTGTTGTCCTGCTGTTTCGGGGTCCCTCTCCCCTGCCTACTCCTTCTCTGCTCGGCGGATTTATAAAATTTTGGAATTTTGAGGATGGAGTATCTTTTGTTTCAAGTACAAGCAGCGGGCGTTACTGACACCGTCGACCACCGAAAGAATGGAAAGGGGGTCGTGTAGGGGGACCCCGTCAGGTGGCTGGTCTGCATTCCAAACTTGGTCCAAGATGAAGGTTGTATTAAAAGTATAAAAACATTTACACTTTTAATACATTCAATACTACACGTAAATCAGAGGTTTTTTGATTTCATCTTCAGCAGCTAACTGTTAAATTTACTCACGCTGATCGATTTTTCATCTGATATGTTGATTCTGTGAAGTGATGACTATGCTTGAATCCTTATTCGTTCCGCACCGCGACCGCTCGCTTCATATGCTATTAGTGCACCTACAGCTGTACCCCACCCAGTTTCTCGCATGCCGGCTAAGTTGCACTCTAATGAAACGAGCACAATGCTTCTGAGTTCGTTTTACAATCAGTTACCGTCATTATGATTCACTTTCACCTGCTCCACTCGGTGGTGTTTATACTAGATTCATAAAAGTGATTAAATGAGCAGACCGCTTAAATAAGTTTAGCGAGGCTAAGTATGATCTTCAAGGGTTGTAAAGTGAAGCCGCTAAAAAATTTCGGACCTAAAGGCACTGATCACGATGATGGGGGGGGGCGTTGCGGCTTTAATACGTCATTGAATGCCATTGGTGGAAGAGGGTTAAAAGGCGGTCCCACCCACACCCCTAGTGCACTGAAAGGCCTAGTCTGCCAGCGACGTTCAAAGACGTCATCAAAACCGCACCGCCCTGCCGCCATCGCGATCACTGCCTCCAGAAAAAAAGAAAAAACAATTAAGAAAAGCTTAGAAGAAATGCATGGTATAATATAGCTAATGATAATAATTTTAACTGCTTCATGGGGAATTTTGAACTGGAGACATCGATAGGCTATTCTCTGATCGTTGCATTCACCCTTGCAAAGCTTGCAAAGCTTGCGAAATATCAAGCGCAGTTTGTCTCGGAACAAGCTGTGGTGTAATTGTAATAAAATATCATATGACAAAGATTGATTTGGATGGAATACAAGTGTAAACAGTAGATTTACTTTGGTTGTTCCAGATAGACAGGTGCTGTTGTCTGGCATTGTTTCTTGCTTCATAGCCTCACTGCTGCCCACACATCGCGGTCGTCGGCCTGATTGCTAGCCGAATCTGTTCCTTCTCTTTGTTCTCTCTCCAGGCAGCTTCCTTTGAAATTTCTATTGTAATCCGTCCTTTGATAATGGTAAGAAATGTTGGAACAGCCCACCTACGCGCAGACGACATGTGAATTTGATGGCCGATACGCCGATAATTTCAAAGCCCATACCTTCAAAGTCCCTTCCGCTTTCAAAAACGAGAAGAGCGTCGGGTGCAGACCATACACCACAAGTGACGACGGCCTCCAAGTAAATCTGGTTAGTAGTGGTTCATAGTGATAGCTGATTTTTGGTAAATGATAGTTGTAATTAGTGACAACTGATAGAATACAACTGCAACAGGCTAATCATTTCATTGGCAGAAAACACATTTTGGACGTCACTTGTGGTGTGTGGTCTGCACCCGACGCTCTTCTCGTTTTTTTGAAAGGAGGGTACCTTAATCAGCGCCTGGGTTTATAGTAGGGAAAGCCTGCCCTCAGTAATCCATGTATTCTACAATACGCATTCAATCTTCCCCACGAAGCAGTATGAATGACAGATGCGGAGCGCATTCGTTTTGTATCTTCTGCTGTATTCCACTGCAAAACTGCTCAATGAATCCTAATGGCGATCTGCAGCCATGCTATCCTCCACCCTCACATCTTAATCGGATCCCATTCGTACCGTTTTTTGCTGCTGCGTTGTAAGATTCGATTTCAGTTGTGCGCTGGGCTCGTGATCAATCTCTCGAAACCTGGGCGCATTAAATCAACCCCAACATTTTGATCCTGCTATTGAGCGTATCTGTTGAGTATTCCCATTAGAGAAGGGTTGGAAAAGAAAAATATCGCCCACAATCAAAGAAAAATACCCCCTCCCCCTCCCCACAACTGCACCATTTTCGATCGCTTGTTGTTATTCCTATGGCAAGTCGCTTTTCTGATATTTTGGCTATTGCCCTATATATTTCGGTCACTTCACTAAAACATGCTCGAAATGAAATAAAAGTTTTTTCTTTGTGTATCTTGAAGCCTCAACAATATTGGTAAGATTTATTAGGGCAACGTTCGGTGACTTCGCCTTCGTCAGAACCAGAAATGGTCAAAAGACCAATACTTGCTCGCTCAAACGCTACAATAAAAGAGAAAACCTAAGCAAACTAGTAAATAGAACTAAACTAAACGGTAGAACAGTTTCTGTTAACCAGCAAAATGGTTTACCAAAAACAACCTTGCCATTTTCGCTTTTTACGGCTCACTGAAAAATAATGTGCATTGTCCGCAATTACGGCCCTGGACAATGCCGTGTTCAAATTCAAACTTGTGAAAGCTTTACTGGGATAGGAAGGGTTTTTTGAACCTTCACCAGTTGTTTTTATGATTCTACTTCGAAATGTAATGTTGTTAGTATGTTCGTGGCAGTGTTTTGTTCGGTTGAAGTCTGAATGGAAATGGCAGTCTGTACCAATTTTCTTCTTTCCATGAGTTACGTTGCTCCTTTTTTTTTGTAGAGCATTTTCTAAGAGTTTAGAATGAAAATCCGTTCAGACTGACTGAGATGTACTAGAGTTCAACATGGTTATGTTTTATCGTTTCTTTCGTTTCTCAGTTTCTTGTTTCGTTTTCTCACTACAGCTATGTGGTTATTTAAAGGCGGAGCATGGGCCTCGGGGGACAACGAGGGAAACTTGGGTCAGATTAAAGATGTGCTCAGTTCCGGAATGAGCTGGGGAGAGAGGAACGTGCTGCGTAAGCAGTTTCATTCACTCCAGAATTCGTCCGTCGCGTTAGGCGACGTCATACTTGCGGAATCGAGCGATTCGCTAGCGATATCGGTCGATTCGCCAAAGCTATGACTTCTGCGTTAAGCTTTGCCCTAGTGGCCTTCCGACAAACTGCCCCCCCCCTCCCCCGGAAGCACATTGCGCCAAAGGCGATCTTAAACAGCTCTCACATTGTGTTGCTTTCTTCTCATTTCGTGATCGTGTATGTGATAAGTTATTATGCTCCGAAGTACATATTCTCTTCAACTGCATCCATCAATTTTCAGGCGAAAGTCCGACCAAGTACCTGGATCAACTGGACGTAAATTTTCACTGTCTCCGCTAGGTATTCGCAACCCATCGTCGGTGGTCGCCTACGATTTTTCGTTCCCAAACCACGGCATTCAGCTAGTGTCGTTCCAGTCACACGAGTCTGTTGAGGAAGCTATCATTTTGACGGGTGAGGTTTTCATGGAAATAAAATCGCTTTCATAACATTTCAATCAATGATGCGGAATGTTCCAGTCTCCCCAATCTTCCTTTTTTTTTTTTATTTTGTTAGAAATTAGTTCGCAATGACTTCACATTGTCACATATAAGAATGAGCAACGCTTCATTCCATTGTAAGCTTACAATAAGTAAGTGGACGGTAGCACTTCCTAGATACTGTGATCAAAAGGACAAGAATGAAGTACGCTTCGGTGTGTAGATTAGGCCTTATGAGCAACCCTTCTACCACGTTTTCTGCATAGTCTCGGCTAGGCTCAATATTCTGTTTTAATAAATCTCGATCAAAGCTGATTTTCTCCAAACTTGCTTTCATATATGGATAAGTGCAAACTATTCACTTATTATTACAGCCCAAAGTGCTAACCATAAGGCAGCTCCCAGCTTCTGTGTTCTCCTGCACGTAATTTTAGGTTTCAACACTGAGCGTGTTCGAAGGGTGTAGCATCACTTTCCAGTGAAAGACTATGTCAGTACACGATGTTCGAACTTTTTTTGTTTTTTCAGCTGATACGTAGAAGCGCTCAATTCGTTAGTGTAGAACGTCTCATATCACTAATCAAGTCTTTGCGTCACAGCTTTGAAATTGGTTCCGCTAATTAGAACCCAGTACTTATTTCATTTTCTTAACAGATTTTGTCTTTGTTTTTTCATTCTCTTAATCCGCATTCGTTGTCGGGCTTGAAGTTGCATCTACCTGAATAGGAATTCCAATATTCTTCCACAATCAAACCTTTACGGTGAACTAACCACATGATGGTAGTCCGTAGTTCTACTTACAGTCACCCGCTATTGCACTTTGCGGTTTTTATACAGCTCACTTCATTATTTCATCCTTGCTGATTGTTCTAATTTGATCCTTGGAGCTACATTTATAAATTTTGCAACCCGGCACCTTGACCAGTTCTGAATGATTTTTTGATCCCGTTCGGTGGGTCGCGACCTGGCAAAAGTGAGTCGGATTCGATAAACCACACTTACGAGCACCTGATAAACGTTGAGGTTTTGTCGTAACCTTTTAATTGTGTGAGTATCTATTCGTCTTCTGCGTTGTACACTAACTCAATTGGCCTATTCCCTATTCTACCGCTACTGAGGAAGGGGTCGTGTCATGCAACTCAACAGTTTCCTCTATTAAAGATCCCCATTTAATCATGTGACCGCGTTTAGAACTTGGTGGAAAAAAGCAGTTCGCTGTGACCTCCATTCGTATTAGGTTCCTCCTTCGGTCAATGTTTATCTTCCTACATTACCGCGGTGCCCCAGTTTATACTTGGAACTACAACTGTCAATAATGTTTTTGCAAGGAAAGGCCTTGAACTTTACTTCGGCATTGGAACTATTAGCGTTTCGTGCTAGTGGCCTGTTTTGTGAAGGGTTCTGGTGGTTCGTTTTGTTGGTCTTTTCCATTTGTAATTTGTAATTCATTTTCATTCTTTCTTCTTAGTCCCGGTCTGTGAAGGGTGATGGGTGACGGAGCTTATAAGTTGTTCGCCGATGACAGGGATATCTCAGTTGATTAGTCAGGTGTTGTTGGGGTGCAGTCATGTCATGTTACGTTCATCGTCATCTTTAGTGCTATCTAAATTGCAATATTGGTTCAAAATTATACGGTAAAATGACGTGTATCATTCCTCATCTGCATGTACGACGAAATTTTCTCATTAGTATTCGTACCGAACGGTTACTTCGAATACACGTTGTATGCATTCATTGGGAGGCATTTCTGACGGAGCCTTTCTAAGCAGGCAAGCCCTGTTATTTGTGCTAAAAATTCCTTTCTATGTGTGAATTTAGGTTTTGATCACGAGAAAACTCGACAGTACCATGTTTTCACTTCGATAGAGAACATCGGCCAGATCTTTTATGCAGGTGTCAGGCTGCAACCTTTCGCTAGCGAATCGCGTGATTAGCTAGGATTGGTCGCAAAGTCTGCGACCTGCCATAGACCATACAATCTACACTCGATATATGCACCTAACCTTCGTTTTTTTTTTGAGGGAGTCTGACAAATCCTTGATGATCTCTGATTCATATGAGATGCAGTGCTGTCAGGAAGGGCAGCGTTGATCTCCGTCATGAACTCCAACAGTCAAAGGTGGTTTTTTTTTTTTTTTTTTTTCTTTTTTTTTTTTTTTTCTTTCTCCCTTTCTTTTTTTTTTTTTTTTTTTTTTTTTTTTTTTTTTTTTTTTTTTTTTTTTTTTTTTTTTTTTTTTTTTTTTTTTTTTTTTTTTTTTTTTTTTTTTTTTTTTTTTTTTTTTTTTTTTTTTTTTTTTTTTTTTTTTTTTTTTTTTTTTTTTTTTTTTTTTTTTTTTTTTTTTTTCTTTTTTTTTTTTTTTTTTTTTTTTTTTTTTTTTTTTTTTTTTTTTTTTTTTTTTTTTTTTTTTTTTTTTTTTTTTTTTTTTTTTTTTTTTTTTTTTTTTTTTTTTTTTTTTTTTTTTTTTTTGTTAGAAAGTCTTCAAGGGGTGTGCCAATACGAAATGCAGCGATTACGATAAATTCAAGAAGGGTTTAGTGTGGCGCAAAGCTTTTAGAGTGTGCCAAAAGAAGGAGCCATAAATATGTGGTATATTTCGCGTGCTCATCAGCCCTGGGAGCAGGTAGTATCACGAACGCGATAGAATCCCGGGCAGTGGCGGGGGCGGGGGCGGGGGCGATTACAACGTTTTTTGCCTTCGAAAGCACTTCAATTCTTTTTAGACGTCAATTATTTTTATTGGAATTGTTCATTGTGTTGTTTAGATAACATAAAAGATCATGAACCGGTTTGTCCCAGAGAAGGATCGAAGAATTTTTTTTGCAAGTGGCATACGTTGGGCTCGCGCGAGGTGAGTGACCACGAGAGTAAATTTGGTTTTGGAAGTGGAAGAGGGGTGTCGGCCAACATCACTAAGTGGGTAATGGAGCGGAGGAACATTAGGGAGGGGATCGACGTTCAATACCAACTATGATGTGACATGTTGTCAGGGTCATCCGTCGCGTCCGCACTTTCCCAAAAATTTTACGACCCTCCACCCCACATCATTTTGAAATGTCATCGAGCGGTCGAGGTGGGGGGGGGGGGGTGGAATGAATATACCTACTGGAGCGACAGCTCATCATCACTCTAATTTTGTGTACTTCACACTTTTTGGGAAGCTTTTCGTCGAAATCATCAACAGAACTCTTCAGAAAACCCCTCTCGTGATCAGAAACCCTTTCAACTTCCACGAATACGACCCTTTGTCGGTTCTTCCCTATGAGATGAATAAACACACCTAGCCCTAAATACGACCCCCTCCCAGAATCGCAAGTATGACCCCCACGTTCGAGTAGTGCGAATGGACGGTTGACACACTGCATGTTGTCATCAGCATTGTGGATCGGAATCTTACCTTCCACCGTGCCATCGTTGTCCGTACCTCGCTTTCATGACGTTTGTCTCTTGACTCTTTTTGTTGGTTGAGTATAGCTTGTCACGAAGTCGCTATGCATGCCTTTCTACAAAAGTATATGTACATATGTTTCACCAGAAGGATGCTGAATTATGGACAGAACACCTTTCTACCACTTGACCCTGGCTTTAAAGCCGAGCTAAGGTGATACATAGCCTGAGCGGTGTATGGTTAGGATTTCCGCTCTAAAGGCACGAGGTTCGCGTTTGGATTGTGGTAAAGGTCGGTGTTGCCCATCACTCAGCATCGGTACCATTCTTATAGAATTCGCATCGCAAATTGCAACTAACAAAAGCAATTAAGAAAGTAAAACAATTGAAAACTATTAGATATGCTTGTTTTTAGAGGGTGGAAGACTGGAATCATTCAGACATCTGAGCAAAGTCTCGATGGGAGTCGTCTTTCGAAAAATATTTTCTCAACTGAGGATTCTATTCTGTTCAGAATGCTCACTTTCTACAACTAATGTTAATCGCGTCATGTCTGAAACACTGGCAACAAGTATTCCTCCAGACGTTGTTGACGCCGGCCACGGCGATCGAATTCCTACAGGATTCTCATCTACGCATTCGCTGAACTTGATTGGAGATGGTGAGTACTACATCACTCTGCCGCTTTTTGTCGTTTAAGGGATTTCTAAAGTGTATTTCTGATTTTTTTCGTGGAACATTCTTCAAGAAACGGCAGAATCTCTGAAATCTTGTGCGTCGTTGAGTTTGCTAAGCCTCCATTTTGTTTAGAAGGAAGAAATTTTAGTTTTTTTTTGAATGGCTTGCACTGTTTATTCATGCCCATTCCATTCCTTTCGAAATCAGCTTTATCTTTGGTTAAAAGTTAATTCATACTCAGAGGAAGTTTGGTTTCTAGAGTACGAATACCAAACTCGTTAAGCGCGAAAATATCCAGCGCACTATGCTCTTCCGAATGATCGTAACTCGTTATCAGTGTGGCTAATTGAGCATAGTTACAGGTTTTTTTTAACGAATTTGACGACCTAACTAGCTGGCGTGCGCGTGACGGGTGTAGTGTTTGCGGGCGTTTTTGCACCAAATGAGTTTCGTGTTCGTGTATGTGTGTGACGTCGGACCATTCTAGGAGACAAACTTTGGCCAAGTCGATTGAAATTTTCTGAATTGGGTGAAATTTACCAGCAAACTGAAAGCTCAAAGATATCAGGACTAGGAGTTCCCCTTTCTTATTCTTCTTCTTCTTATTCTTTAGCGTTTGTCCCACCCTGTGGCGGGGTCCGCTTTTCTGGTATGTTGACGCCACTTTTCCCGATTGAATGCCTGATCGGGATGAAGGCCAACTATTTCAAGTCTTCATGCAATGTATTTTTTGCATAATTTACATTTATATTATATATTAATTATTGAACATGATTCGCATCACTGGATCTCCCTATCATATGATTTACATTTTTTCTTATGGGAAAATCCCATGTCGTTGTCACCTTTATCAGCGGTGCGCCCATGCTGGGCTGTGGTTCGCTAGGACAGAAAGCGACTTTTTCGCGTGCCGCGGCGCGAAACATTTTTGCTGAAAACTCCAGGTCCTCTTATGATCAGCGTAGGCCCTGAGGTTACTGCACGAGAAAAAGTCGCGTCCTATCCTGGTGAACCATCACCCCCCCCCCCATGTTTAGTTGCTCGAGCGACACCTTCACACACCACTAGGTAAGTGTTCCTGCTAAACACGGCCTTGTGGGGGGTCGATCAAGTCCGGCGGATTGAAGCAGAGTTATTTCGCATTTTTTCTTGCAAAGGCATAGGCTATGTGTGAGTTTCCGAAATCGGCGTACTTTGCCGTGAATATCACACGTTTGAAGCTGTTGCCGATCCCACTAAACACCCGGCTCTGGGAATCCGAGTGGAACTTGTTCTTTCTGTCCTCTTCAATGTCTTTTCCTTGCATGTTATGATGTATTAGCGCATTGGATGATGCGAAAGTAGAAGCTGCAAAAATAAGATATTTTAAGAAATGATGAAGATGGAAGTAAGGTTGTAACCGGGTGCCAAATCCGAAACCCTTACCACATCCTTGTGAAGCTACTACTCTATTCAGGCAGATATTTCGGCTTAGTCTCCAGCTGTTTGTTTTTCCAACACGAAACTGGCAGATCGTAGAATGGCGCTTCCCCCCCCCCCCTCAACCACTTGGGGTCGATTTCAAGCTGCTTCCATTGAACACGTTACAAAATTTTACTTATCACTTTTGACACCCATTCAAAGTTTGAATGAAAATCATCATGCTTCTCTGTTCTCATGGGGGAAATTCATGGTAGCGTCTGTTGAGGAATTTTGATATTTTCCCATTTGAAAGCGCAAGCAAAGTGATGACTGATCACACGGGAGGACATGCATCATCAATTCGGGCATTGCTGAAATTTTTGTCAAACGGAACGTCTAGTCTCTCAATATTCCACGGTGGCAGTGGCGTCGAAAGTAGCGCAGTTTATTCACCAGCTGTTGGATATGGTATTTGGGTGTTTTTCACCGAAATCCTTCACAGAAGTCGACGATGGCACCCAGTCGTTCGTCTCCTTCGATCCGATGGCTGGTGAGGATCACGTTAGCGTACCTGTCATACACGGATCTGATCCAATGATTGCTTCACTGGGATGCAGAAAACATTCTTTACGTGAGTCATCCATCATCATTATTCTCTCTAACTGTCTGCTTTTAAAGCCAACTTCAAGTTTTCAGAAGAAATGAAAGCAATTCATTTGCATCAACGGTCATTTTCTGCTGAAGATACGTCGTGCAACAAAGAAAATCATGTGGGTGATTGTTGACGAGCTCTGAGGTATGGTCGTTACCGGAATAGATCACACTCATTTCAGTGTAACAGTGCTCCCATCCAGAATGGGCTCTCCTTAAAAGGAATGCAGGACAACGACTCGGGCAATATAAGTGGTAATGTCGAATTTTCCATCGACACTTCCGGTGACATACACAGTTCCGAAAAGGCCGAGCCTTCAGAACCAACAATTGTTGTAGAGGTATGTATAACCTCTCCCGTTTGAAATTCTTTCATTGTTTGCGGTATTGTGTAGAAAGTAATGGGTAACACGATGCTGATTTAGGATGATCAAACACTGAGATATGACATAGATTCTCTTCAAGAAGAGGAAATACGTCGAATTGAAGAGGCTGCTAACAGTCTAACTGATGGCTTGGAATTACCACGCGCATCTGAGCTTCCTACTTCTTCTATTGATGGCGATTGTTGTGAGTCATTTTTCAATTAGCGTTCATCTAATTCGATTGCTAGATTTTCCTCTTATGAGATGAGAATCGTTTTCGCATTCGTGGGTTGGTTTCGCTATTCTTACCCTTTGAGGAGTTTTGAAAGCGCTCTTTTCACATTTCGATGTTACCTGAAAAGCTCGTCAAGGAGGGGAACGAGCGAGTTCATGCACTTTCCCTCACTTTATTATTATTATTTCAAAGGCCCCCTCCTCTTCCAAATATCACACTAACCTAGGATTCTCTGCAAATACCGGTTACAAGGCTTCTGTCAACCAAGGGGTGAGCGTAGCTGGAAAAGCACACACTTTGTGTCTTATTGGGACTAAGCCTTTTGAAGGAGATAAAGAAAGAGGAGATGCTGTGATAGTGTGCACTTGTGAGAGCTCCCA